CCCCCCCCCCCCACACCCCCCATCACTTCCTCTCTCTCTCTCTCTCTCACTCCATTTTTCTGGGTGAGCGAGTTGTTGTTGTAAGTCTGCTCTAATCAGGGCGGTCCCTGTCTCTTTCAGACCGAGGGAGGGCTGTTGAGATTCTGGGCACTGCCTTCTTAAAGGGACGGCCATAGACGCAGTTCCTGCACTTCCCTCGGCATTTCGCAGCCTCCTGTATCATCCCTGCTCTGTCTGAATCTCTACGGCCTGAGGTGAGTGTTGTGACAGAGATCAGAAACCGGGTCAGATCGATACAGAATTTACCAGCACATGACCGATTAGAGGTTTAATTTTAGAGACTAGGAGTTCAGTATTTCCATCTCCTTCTCTCTATCTCTCCATCTCGCTCCCTCTCCCTCCATCTGTCTGTCGCTCTCTGTCCGTCTGGTTCTGCCTATCTCTTTTCTCCATCTCTCTCTGTCACTCTCTCTCCATCTGTATCTTTGTCTCGCTCTCCATCTCTTGCACCCTGTCCATCTCTAACTCTCTCTCATCTATCCTTCTCCCCATCTCTTTCTCTCTCCCCTGTCTCTTTCTCTCCCTGTCTCCCTACCTCCCTCTCTGTCTCTGTCTTTATCTCTCACCGTCTCTCATGCTGTCTCTCGCCTATCTTTCCCCCATCTCGTTCTCTCTTCCCACCTCTGTCTTCATCTCTGTCTCTGTCTCTCTCTGTCTCTCACCCTGTCACTCATATATCTCTTTCCCTGTCTCTGTCTCTCTCCCCGTCTCTATCTTCTCTCTCTCCATCTCTCACTCACCTATCTCTTTTCTCTCTTCCTCTCGTGTCACTCTCTCTCTCCGTCTCTCTCTCTCTCTCTCAGCTATTTCTCTCCCCTTCTCTCTGCCTTCCACTCCGTCTCTGACTCTGTTAGAGATATTAAGTTTTGCAGGGTAACTTTTGACAGCATTTCCTGGCCATATTTTTTGAGGTGTTTATAAACTCTGCATTTTTGAAAAATGGAGTCAAACAGAGAGAGAGGTGGTTGGGGGGGGGGGGGGGGGGGGCAGGTGGAAACAGAGAGGAGGAGAAAGGGAGGGGCAGAGGGAGAATGAGAGAGAGATTGGGGAAAAGAGGAAGATAGTCAGAGAGTGAGAGGGGAAGAATTGGAAAGAGAGAGGTGAGGAAAAGGGAGAGACAGAGATGGTCAGACAAAGAGAGATTGGGGAAAAGGGGGAGATAGAGAGAGAGAGAGAGGAAGAATTGGAAAGAGAAAGGGGAGGAAAAGGAGACACAGAGACGGTCAGAGAAAGAGAGATTGGGGAAAAGGGGAAGATAGTCAGAGAGAGGGAGGGGGAGAGTTGGAGGCAGATGGGTAGATAGAGAGAGAGATAGTCAGAGAGAGGAGAGACAGAGAGGGAGGCAGAGGGAGAGACAGATGGTCAGACAGAGAGAGGGGAGAGAACTGGAGAGAGGGAGGGAGTGATGAAGGATGAGAGGTGGTCAGAGAGAGAGAGAGAGATACAGGAAAGAAGAGAGGGAGAGAGACAGTGTGGGGCGGGTGGAGTTGTTGGG